ATATTTTTACTGGTGAAGGTTGGGTCTTCAACCTGGTTTGAAAGGAAAAAAAGCCAAATGGGGAGAGAGGCTAGGACACGGCCGGCCTCACCTCTCTGGATGGTACGGGCTCATTTTTGTTTTCCTGTTACCGGAGGATTCCAAGCAATGCGGGGCTGGAGGGCCTCCGTAGAGGTAGCCTGGGTGCCTGCTGGCATCGGTCAGCTCCACCGAATGCAATAGCCACATGGTAACTCATGGCTGGCAGGTTAAAAAAAAAATCAATGCGAAAACTGCAACTTGTTTTGAGAAGAAACCGGGAAATAGATGCGTACAATAGACTGGGTATCTGCTGGTTCTGATAAAGCGTCCCTCTCTTGGCGGTAACGGAAAGACAACAGGACGGTTATTTGTACAGCATTTATCTTTGAAATCAAGGGCCCTGTGGTATGCCTCACCTTGGGAACAAACACTGCACAATGATCCCAGAAAAAGCGTCAAATCTCTGGTTTTGACTTACCAACAGTTATGATATTTCTTCCCCAGGAGGGAAACAAAATATGCCTCATTTTTCGATCTGTGAGTCTGCCTTCTCTCCCCTCACCCCCTGCCTCTGCTAACAGTGGCGTTATACTGTTAGATAGGATTTTTATCCCGAGTAACTACGCATGTTAGCCTCTCTGAAAGTTCCATCTTACTAGCCCGGGCAGCAGAAGATGAGGAAAGTCACGAAGTCCCATTTCCTCTCGCACGAAAGCCGAGCCACAGGTGGCAGAACCCAGCGCGCGTGCGCATGGAGACCATGGCTGGTAAAGGGGCCAGCAGGGCAAGACAGGCACGGATACCTTCCCAAAATATGCATAAACGCAAGGGCTCCGTGAATCCGACCTAAAATAACCCAAGATGGCAATGCCATAAGGAACTGCAAAAAGATTTCTCAGCTAAAAATCTGATGACACCAAAAGCTTTGCGAGCTCCAAGGTCAGCAATCTGGTCCGAGGCACAGCGCCACGCCCATCCCTCGCGGAGGTCCAGGGGCTGGCTCCGAGGCGACGTGGCAGAGGAGAGGAGCTGACACAGAGACTGTGTGGCGGGCGAAGCCCCAGCATAGTGAAAAGCTCGCCATGCCCTGTGCCAACGTCACATCCCACTGTGGGACTCTTTTACCAGGAATTTATGGTTAAAAAACTGTATTAAAGAACAGTCTCTTCTAACACACCAATATTCTGCACAGCCACAGCCCTACCCTAAATACAAGGTTAGAAATGTATGGATATGTTAAATTAACCCTTTTTAAAAAACATACTTAAGGAGATAGGTAAGAAAGGAAGTACCACTACTTTTAAAGAATCCCTAGTGTGGGCTAGGCACTTTATTTACATGATGTACCTTCTAATTCTAACTCTGAGAGGTGGTTTTCAATTATTATCTCAAATAACAGGTGCCAGTACTGGGGCTCAGAGATGCTATGTAACCAGCTCAAAGAACACACTTATTACAAGGGGCTTCACTACCCTATCTGCCTTTCTTCAAAGCTTTCTCCATACCTACGGCCTTAAGTAGAAAGCACACTGTTAACAAAATGCACTGCTTCTAACCAGGTGGTACTGTGTAGCACTTAGGAGCAAGTCCTGTGAAGCCAGACTACCTGGATTTACATCTTGACTCCAACTCTTTTTAACTGTGTGACCTTGGGAAAACTCACTTAACCTCTCTGTGCCTTAGTTTTTCCTCTGTAGGTTAAGAATTAACTCTATAATATTACCACTATCACATGGTTGTTGAGTATTAAATGAGTTATACACAAAAAAAATGTTGAATGGTGCCTATTGCACAATTCAGGTCTATTTAATTATGAACTCTTACAAGGGGAGGGTAAAAGGAAGGGATTAGAAGATAGGTGAAAAAAATCTATAACACCTAAGTCGAGGTCAGAGCAATGCAGCATTTTGTTGGGTAAGAGTGTCTTGGCTAATTGAAGCTCTTACAGGTATCAATTCGCTTAAACCATAAGAAAATGCCTCCGAAGAGGGACAATGAAAGAGAACTCTAAGCCCAGAGGAGAGGTCCTTTCGGAGTCTACAAAACTGCCCATTTGAAAAGAAATGCCTGAAACATCATTTCTGAAAAACAGTGACTCCACGATGATGATTCAAACAGGCCACGTGGCTTTTGTTTGACCCACAGAAGTACTGTAGCTCTGGCAGTCCATGCCAATGGAAGGCAAAGCTGGTTTCATTAAAGCCGACTTGACCACACCCTTCAGACGATGCAGAGGTGTGAGAGAGGCACGTCTGCAAGAAGACAAACTTACTGTCCACTTTGTTAGGCAAGATGCTGAAACCTCAAGACAACTCTGAATTTCTGAAAGCTAATCTCATGCTGTAGAGGAAAATCACAATCCTGAATGTGTCATATATGGCCAATCAATGTGTAACTCAGGAAAGCACCAGAACTCTGAGTTTTAGAGGGTTTTTCTTATTTGGCATTTGCTCTTCCTTTGAGGGTTTATGGCCCTCAGTTTTTACTCTCGGGAACTGAGCTCCCATCCCTTGCCCCCATCTGGTTCCTGTGGGATGCACATCTGTTTCTGCTGGAGGAGGGCATGTGACCCAGGCCTGATGCATCCCTGTGGCTCAGCACTAGAATACATGACTCAATCTGGGTCAATGACAGTCTGCCCAGGATTTTTTTTTTAGAACTGCAGGAAAAACAGTGGCATGAACATTTATCTTCTTCACTTCTATGTGGAAAGAGCCCAAGAATGAAGGCAACACAGAAGAAAATAACGCTATTAGACAAAGACCAAATGCCCCAACAATTCTGTTTCAGGACCCGGACCTAGCCATGCTTGAAGCTAGCTGTACCACTGGATTTCCTAGTTACAGGAGCCAGTTATTACCTCCTATCCCATTTCTTTTTCTCTTTGGGTTAAGCCAAGTTAAGCTGGGTTTCTATTGCTCACAAACAAGTCTTCTGATAAATGTACGTCATTTATGAAATAAACAAGCAACAGTTGCAAGTTCATAGTAGGCATTCCAATTCCACTGAGCAAATATGAACTGAGAACATGTCATGTCATGTGCAAAACCGCAATAAATAATTGATAGGTATTTCCTATGCCAGAGCCAGGCTCCTACTACCCTTAGGAAGAGAAAAGGGAATTTTTATAGGAATCAAGTCTAGGCCCCAATTCTAAAGTCTTTGGAATCTTTTCTTTTGTTCTAAATGTGGTTTGAAATGGTGCTGTCGCCTTGTGGAGGAATATATATCCCCCCAACAGATATCTTATCTACTTATTTATTTATAAATCACCTAACTGTCAGCTCACATAATAAATGGACCTCTGATCTGACTAGGGTGGAAACAGTTTGGCTGTTAACAACATTTTTGAAATTGGTCAGGTTGGAAAAGTGCCCTTTTCCCTCATGGTTCTAAAATTGATACATGACACTGAGACTGCTGATAGTGATTTTATAGTTCGAGACACTTTAGAAAAATAAATATTGACACATTTATTTGTCATTCCACAGATAGCCAAATTAGCACCAAGATAGTTTTTGAAGCTAGCACTGGGGCACAAGGTGAAATCAGAATGTAAGAATGGCTTCTGCCAAGATCTTTTTCTCTTGTTCTCTAAATAGGCAAATAATCACGAAATAACAAAGATTCTATAATAAATGATCTGTAAGAGAACAAAGCCCAATAGCACTAACTTGAATCGTAACAACTGCAAGGAGCTGTTGCTTAATTTAAAATAAAGTATTGCTGTGCTTGGCTGCTGATATTTAGAAATGATTTTACACACCTCTTTTTAAACAATTTAAAGTATCTAAGTTTTTAATGACCACATAATGCTCTTGAAGTGAAATATTAAAGCTGGGACATTCACCAAAAGCCCTTACAGTAACAATAGATCTCTAAGGGTACCTTTATTACAATATTTTGATCTAGCCCCATAAAGGTAGATACACAGATTGTTCTAACCACATAAAGATTTCAAGTTTCTAACACACAGAACCAGCGACCTGTTTGTGAATCAGGCTGCCTCTGTTTCCTGGGGCTTGAAAGAGAAAATCCAGAGGCAGAGACCCTCTCTAATACCCAACTTGTAAACCAAACAGAACTTAGACATACAGGAGTTTATACACCCATATGCTAGGTTGTACATGATATGTATACATATATTAAAGATATGGTGTTATTATATTCAGTTTGTATGTCAATGAGTCAACATTATCAGTATCTTTGAGATACCAATAATGCAGTAGTTTAGGCTAAATTTAAAGGACAAGGTACTATCTATAAGGAAAATATTCAACTGTAATGCAGAAGCGTTTCACTTCAGATGTGAGAAGATCAACGTATCATTTGCTTATAGAGATACTTCAGTGGTGTTACAGATTCAAATGGGATAACCCAAGTTTTGGTCATACTTTAATTGTAAAAATTAAAGTTACTCCATTTGCCCTATAAGGAGGGGAGAGAATCCGAGCAAAACTCAACACCATAATAGAAAGATAAGAATCAAGTCGGTAGCATTTCCTCAGCAGCCATTTCTTAAGTGTATAAAGTAATTAGTATAAAAACCAAGAGGCGGCCCAATCACCTACTACAACCGGCCAGTGAGTAACACTGATTTTACAAAGTTGGAGGTCGTGAGTGTGTCACTGACTTAGCATGCGAGACAGGGATAAACGGGAAAAAATCCAACGGCTCCAAGCTTAATATTGGAAGAATTCTTCCTTCAGCACTTAAATAAGCTCTAAAAAAACAGGTAAACACAGGCACTTACAAGAGTTTCCAAACCACCATGGGCTGTCTTCCCCTTTACGATGCAACCCTCTATAGGTGTGTCACTATTCCTACGACAGCGCTCGGGCCAAGTCCTTGCAGTTTGGAGTCCAGTCCCAAAATGGTGGTGTGAAACCCTCCATCAAAAAGGCGATTTATGAGGAAAAGCATGCACAGCAGGAGGTGATGGCTATGTAAAAAAGGAAGCAATATAAAATCATTCTTACTTTAGAAATGATTGGAAATCTTCGCATACTGCTTCACAGCCGGGCCACTTGCATACGCCATGTCCGTAGAGAGGATGGCCATGCGGGTGCTCTTCATGAGTCAAGCTGAGGGGAAACAAATGGCAGGACAGGAGAATGAATCTGTTCTCGGGAACCATCCCCCAGACGCCGATGGCGAGAGGAACGCACAACAAATCTGGGGTGTCCTTTTCCCGTGGAATTGACTAATTAATTCCACGTTTTTGTTTAAAAAAAGCATTAAATCCCAAAATGTGAATAGTCCAGTATTAGAAACATATCACCTTGTATGAAAAGGGTCTGAGGCAGGCTTTTATTAGAGGCAAAGCTCAGACCACAAAAGATTCTTTAAAAGCTAGAAGGTATCACTGCATCTACATAATGGAAATTGTAAGATCTGCACTTGCTTTATAAAGGGTGTAACTCTCTCCCTGCTTTCTACCCAGAATGTTACAGATATTTTTCTCCTCCTGTCTGCTGCTGCAAACTGCTTTCCCATAATTGTGCACTCTTGTCGCAAGTTAGTTTTATCAAGCAGAGAGCAGAGCAATTAAATAATTTAGAATAATAAAATAATTTAGACAAACATATTCAAGGAGATGATTAACTTTAAAGGAAGCTAATAGTGGCAGGAAGAGTCTAGCCCTAAAATTACTGACCCCAGGAGAGACAACTAGGCAAGAACGTGAGGGGTTAATCCTCCAGTGGGGATCCAATCAATACATAATGATTTGGCCACAGGGCTCCCAGCCAGGAGATGCTCTGATCCACGCCATGTGAGCTCGGGCAAGGGTACTGCTTGCACTCACTGATGACCACATTCTCAAATATTTTCTCTATTAGGTTTCTGCATCCAGACTTCTTTCAGACAAGTTATTTTCACAGTCATTTCCATAACCTTACAGTCCATCAAACAGAAATGTAACACTACCACTGAGAGTTGTGATCTGGTCTCAAGCACGTTCCTTTCAACGGAAGGGCTACCTTGCAACTTTTTTTTTTTAACTTTTTTTTTTTTAACCAGCTTCAGGTATAGTGTATTGTTACTATACACACATGCCTTGCATTTTATATTATCACCATGACATGTATTCACATATTTTATTTATTTGCATTCATAGAGCAGACATAAATGCCACTTGTCCCTGACAAAAGATAATGAATCCACAGTAAGAATATTATGACAGTTAAACTAAGGAGTATTAATAGTAAACACGCATATACACTAGAGAGTTCACTAGAGAACTACACCTTATCAAAGATCAATAGGTCTCACTAAGGCTTTCAAATGATTTTGCTGAAAATCTAATCTAATATGAAGTTAATGACAAACTCTCTTGCCTTAAAATAGAAAATAAATCTGGGCGAAACAAAAATTTCAGGAAGGTAATTTCCAAACACACTGAAGGGTGCCCTTCATGAGAGGAAAAAATAACACAAGACAACTAAGTAGTTATGAAGACAACTAAGTGAGTTTTATGAATACCAATGATGAGGGATATTCTCTAACCAGCTGAAAGCAAAATGTCATTGGACTTAAGGGGAGAATTACTACACAGCCATGTTCATTTTTTGTTTGTTTAGAAAATAAAACAGATAGGACTAATATAATGGATATTAAAATTAAACTACTGTGGTGATCACGTCACAATATATGTAAAGCCAAATCATTATGATGTACAACTTATACAATGCTGTATGTCAATTATATCTCAATAAAACTGGGGAAAAAACTGATATACAAAAAACATGATTTCCAAAAATTACTGACAATATTTGATATTAAAAAATCTTTCTAAGTACTAGAATTTTCAGATATTCTGTGGGAAGGAAATCATTTAAAAACAAACTGGTCCTACCTAGAGCTTAAAAAAAGAAAAGAAAAAAACTAACCATAATAATTTTCTTTACCAGTTTTATTAACATTATTTAAAATGTTTTCATGATGTTAATATATATGTTGTAGAAAACTTGGAAAACACTGAAAATTTAAAAATTACCCCTCAATACACACATATTCTTGACAAATTAAGACCAGATGACTTATTCATTATATTTTAACGTAAGTTTGCAAATAATTTCTCATGTTATCAATCAGTCTTCAAAAACGTTATTTACTGATGCACAACAGTCTATCATATCCATCTCAGTGCTAGTTACATGCCAAAATTTGTCTAACCACAACTCTAATTCTGGACACTCAAGTTTCCTCCTTGTTTCCTACATTTATGAATAGTATTAGCAAATAAAATATACCAGGCTAAACATCACAGTATATTAACTGATTTTTACCAGAAGATACATTCAGAGAAACAGGATCGCTCAATGAGTAATAAGTTTTGAAATTCGCTATGAATATTCTATCAAAATGCTCTCAAGAACTACTACATGCTGAGCACATACTCGGCCATTATCCATATTGCATGTGATTCTTTAAGGCAGAAACCAGGGGCCTCAACTAGTTAGGATATAAAATTAGTATCACTAGTTAAAAACTGCAAATGGTTATTTTACTATGCTTTCTGGGATAAGCCAAGAGTGTTCTGAAAATAATAGGATGGAAGAAAATAACATGTGTTCACTAGAGGAATTTATGACTAGAAATAAAACGCGTACATGATTTAACATGATATTTGCCATTTCCCCCACCCCCAGTTTTTAAGTTCATACTTGTGAAGGCACCATGGCCTGAACAAAAACTGCTCTGCTCTGAGAACCTACTTTTAGTTCTGCTTGGAATCCTTATTTCAAAGTAAGGACAGAGGACAATTCACTAAGGCCCCAGAAGGACACCTGTGACAGCACCTGAAGTATAGAGAAAATCAAACTCCTCCCACACCCCAAAGAGTTACACACTCAAAAGACATCCTGAAAATCTGCCTCTACATGAAAACTCTATTTTCTATTATGAGAAGATTATATGCTCTTATTTTTAAAAGTTCACACACTACTGCGTTGGCTACTGAAGTCCCCATGCTCCCTGACTCCACATAAGCACTGTTAACCCTCCGGCACATTACTGAGCTGCATTTTTCTTCTAATATATTACTACTTCACACAAAGGGAAACATACTATATGCACTACTGTCACTTTAATGTATAAGTGGATTTTATAATATAAAATTGGAGACTTTAAAGTACACAGTTGTCTCAGATGAAGTGTTTGGCTTTGGAAGGAAAAGGAACAGTCTGGCAGTGATGCCCTCACAGCGCATCTCTGGAAAGACGTTTAAGAGACCTAATAGGTGTGGTCATGGGTGGCAGGGAACCTCATTTTTCATCCTTACCGCTTTAAAACTTTTAACTTTGGGCACTGTAGGGATTTTTGCTGTGCAACCGTTTACACACACCATGCACGCACACACACATACACACACATGGAAAAATCAAGTGCTATGAGGAACTCGGTGTTCTGACTGCCATTTGCTCTGCCAGTGACACGGCAAGGGCTGCACACTCACTCTGCACAGCTGAATCTGCCTCCAGCCCGCAGACCCTGTACGAGGCACGATCAGACACCACCACTGGCACCTCTGAAAGGAAGCCTTTCTGTGGGAACATTTATACTGTGACTGCCTTTTGGACTTGCCAAAAGGGATACGAAGGGAGATTTTAAAAATGAAATCATGTTCCAGAATCTGAATTAGAACTACATCTTCAGGGTGAGAGATGGTGGCAAAGAGCTGACCTGAGAAGCTGACAGGTCAGATACGGCCTGTGAGCCTCATCACGTCAAGGGGACAGGACTGTTCAAGGGGACTCACCAATGTGAGAAGTATGACTTCTGAAAGGCTGCCAAGGTCAGCGAGAAATAAAAGTGCACTTCATTTTAAGGGGATTTAAACTCGTCTGCTCCGAAGCTTCTAAAAATTTAGGGTCAATTGCTTGGTAATATTTTTAACCGTTAACTCCCAGGTTGAGAGTTTTGACACTTACTACTGTTTAATTTTATTCGAAATATATGAAATATATAAATAGTACACAATTGAGAAAAGCCAGATAATTTAAATAAATCTCTTGATAATCTTTGCTACGTAAAAATTAAATCTGTTTTCAACACAAGAACCATGATAGCATTTCAGATTAGAAAGAACCAACTTTCCATAAATATAATCATACATAATATGTAATTACAATTCCTGGCATTATGGTATTAAATACAGGACACATTCAGGATGGTGTGGTGGTCTCATAATGACATTTAATAATTTTTTCTAGTTATTCTTTTTATAGCAAAACACACCACCCAGAGCCTTAACTTCAATACTGACTTCGGCCTTTGAGAAGATTTTCTATAATGGCTACAGGGCTTCAATGGTGACTACTCACGATTACCTTCCAAGTTTCCTACTTAACCAAAACCTGAAGCTAGAATCATCAAATCCACCTGCCACAAGTGAGAACTGCTTCTCATTCTCACCAGTCCTGTAAACCTAGTTTTCCCTGTGGTAGCCATGAGGAGCATAACCTTTGAAGGAGATTAAGAAAACAGACATCTTGCTATACCCAAGGACACTTCTTGCCAATTTAAATGCCAATCTTCCCTTCTCTGGAAGGCACACCCTTAACTTTTCCTGCACCCTGACCCAAGTTCTCATGGCTGTGTCTTCTAAGTCTATTCCAGTGTGTTTTTTCCATGTTCCAAATTTGCCCTGTGTTTTCTTCTCTAAATTTCATATTCATTGTACCATGAGGCTACATCTGTGCACACTAGGGTTTCCACTGTCTCCCCCGCACCAAATGAACCCTAAATTATACATTGCATTTTATTTTGCCGGCACATTATTTGATATATTAATTTATGGAATGCTGTTGGTCATTCTCCAATCACTCAAAATTGCAGAATATATTTTCTTTTTAAGTGTTATTGAGACAATTCATACGGCATACAAGCCACTCATTTAAAATGTATAATTTAATGGCTTTGACTATATTCAGAATTATATTACCATCATGATATAATTTTAGAACATTTTTATCACACTGAAAAGGAAACCTATGCCCAGCAGCATTCCCCATTTCTTCCCAACCAACAGCCCCTGCCTTCGCTAATCTATTTCCCATTTCTAGAGATTTGCCTATTTGGG